CATAATGAGCCACGAGAAAGCAAAAATCAAGGCAACTGCCAGCCTCAAGATGAACAAGATTAAGTTTAAAGAGTGACAAGCTGCAAAGTGTTCCTTTGTAATATATTATGCTAGAACTATACGATAATTTTCATTTCTTGGATAACCATAGAATATACTTTAAAAGCTCAATAGGTATATCTTAATTAATTGTATGAGAATTATTCATTCATGGCTTACCTGTACTAAAATACAAAAATATAAATTTGCTTCCTCTTGTCCAGAATAATCCTGGATGAACTCTCCATGTTGCCCAAATAATGGATCCTCTGTGGATCCAAACTAATTTTAATTTAAAATTAATAATGTAAATCTTTAGAATAAAAAAATGTTTTTTAAAGCCAAAATTTTAAACTTTGGATTATTTATATTAATTTGTTGCACATTATCTTGAAACATTTATATATTCACCTCTCATACCAATAAAAGTTAAGACCAGAAATGGCATAAACGGCAGGATTCATTTGGTAAATAAATCTGTCCCCTTTTAGTCTGGCAACTCCAGATATTAAACACGTTTTCATCTCTTCTTTGGACCTCTCTAGGGAAGAAGTGGAACAGAATAAGCAGCAAAATTATGAAGAATTCATGAAGAGCCAGCTTCTGAATGAATTAGGATGTCCAGATTCTCAGAAGTTTCTTTCATTTACAATTCCAATATGTAGCTATGCCCCATGACCTTGCCAGCAAGTTCTAAAGTAAAAGCTCTTTTTTTTTTTTTTTTTAATCTTCATCTGTTCTGTTCTCTCAAACCCCTACGGCTCATTCTTGTGTAAGTAACTGTTCATAAGAGTTCTGGTATTAGGAAGAGGGGGTAGAAAACAGTATCTAATAAGCACCCGCTATGTGCCAGCCAAGACTAAGAATTTCACATACTGTTCATACAATCCTCACAGTTAGTAATAAAAAAGCTACTATTAGACCTTTTTAACCTCTGAAGACAGCCTGGGTTCAGAGCCTATGCTCTTTCTATTCTACTATATTTCCTCCAAAGTAATGTGCCTCCAAAGTAGAAGGACACCATAGTACTTAGAGGCAGAAGACCTGGCTTAGTTTAGCACTTTCTGATGAACTATGGGCAAATCACTTCACTCTTCTGACATCAATTTTCTCACAGGTAAAATGGAGATAAAGCTATCTTCAAAAAAAAAAAAAAAAGCTATCTTCCAACCTTACAGAGCTGCTGCAAAAAGCAAAGTAAATAATGTGAAAACATGTATGTACTATCCAACGTTGATATAATCATTATGGTATTTTGGGGAAATATTCTCTTCTTCTAAGATTTTAAAAATGCTATCTTTATCCAATTACTTAAAGAAAAAAATGAAGCAGATTAGAAACAAAGGTGCAACCCAGGAGAAACATTTTAATTACCCACATACATATAATAATCTTATTATACCTCCCCAAAAACCTGCCTCCAAACCCTTAGTTAATGAGATCTTCAGCAGAAAAACTATAGTTGAAGCCTCCTTCAGATCAGTCTCATAAAATACAAAAGGAAAATAGTTCAGAGTGAATATAATTTCTCTTGTGCTAATATACACATGACATGATTGAGATTCAGTGACAATGACCTTCTAACATTACTACTTACTGATCCTTGAGATCGGTAAACTGTTTTTCTAGATTGGACATTTCATCTAAACATTCCATTCTTCTTCTTTCACAGTCTTCATCATCCATTTCTGTTAATAAAAGGCAAATAGCAAAGAAGAACTTAATTTTATGTTCCAAATTATCTGAATGTTAGTTCAAATGGTAAAAAACAAAACAAAAAACCACACACACAAAACTATAATATGAAGTTAGATATGCAAGGCTTATATTAAACCTTAAGAGAAAAGGGTTGCCTGGGTGCTCAGCAGTTGAGCATCTGCCTTCGGCTCAGGGAATGATCCCAGGTTCCTGGGATCGAGCCCGACTTTGGGCTCCCTGCATGAAGCCTGCTTCTCTCCCTGCCTGTGTCTTTGCCAGTCTTTCATAAATAAATAAATAAATAAATAAACAAATAAATAAATAAATAAATGATAAATAAATAAATAATGTTTTTAAAAAGCCTTTAGAGAAAATAAACATTTATCCAAAATAATTTCCACTACAGATTTCAGCTTAAAGTACAAATGACAGTTAAAACTATAGCAATCTCTAGACCTTCTTATTTTTATTCATTTTTAAATCATTTTAAAGAGCTGACATCAAGCTATACTATATGAAGTAATTAATCCATTCTGGGCTTATTTTCCATCAACTCCACAAAACTTAAGCACCAAAATGATTATGTCCATTAAAGAATATTGCTCAAAAATACTTTTGGAATTCTTTCAGAACTGCTAACATGACTGATTTGCCAGTCACATAAAAAGAAAACTAATCTCATTCTATTTACCACAAGATATCTTAGTCTCCTACTCAGATTCTCATTGTTCCCTCTCCCCAAAATATTGTGAGAAAAAAAGGAAAATGAAGAGAAAAACAAGCAAACTTTTCAAGTAAAGCGACTGTTAATCAGCAGCTCTCTCTTCCTATATTCTGTATCTTCTATTTTTACATGACATATATTCAGCACTTCAAGATAAGTGAAACACAAGATGATCTGCATCTTGATCTGCAAATAAACGTCAAACTATGTGAAAGAATTAAGTTATGTTCAGTTATTTTCAAACAGCAAGTAACTATAGAGTTCATTTCTTTTAACTTTCCTAACATTAAAATTATTTCTGGCTCCTAATAGGTTACTCCTTGGCTATTTAAAACTTGGTCCCAAAAAAATAAAAATAAATAAATAAATAAATAAATAAATAAATAAATAATAAAAAAAAAAAATAAAACTTGGTCCCTCAAGATGACTCATTTTCCAGTATCTCTGGATAGTAGAGTTTATTTCGTAGCTTTAGGATCTGCTCAGTACCAATGTTTGAGAAGAACAAAACTGTGTAAGTTTAACATGAAAGACATATGGCAGAAAAGAAATGCTTTCACAAGAAGCAAAATTGCATAATTTAAGTGATGTCCTTGAACTTAAAAATTTTGACTTGTAATTCAAATTATTATTACATGCTTCAAAATTAAGTTGTCCATTATTAATTGGGATAGAATAAAAATCAGTGAAAAATTACAAAAACCAGCGTAAAAATTAGGGAGAACTTTAACAAATAGATGTCATTTCGTGAGATCCTAGTTCTCATCAAAAAAACAAAGAACACTTGAAGATCAAATGTTCTACAGATCTAGAAAATGTATTTACGTACAGCCTAGATGTTCTTTCTCTGTACAGCTCACTTTTGAAATCTCACCTACTTTGATGGCTAGGCAGATGACTTCCAAATTATGCTTCTAATCCCGGCCAGGTTCCAATGCCACATTTCCAACTGTCAATTGACACTCTGAAGTAAATATACCACCATCACCTCATAAACAACATGTCTGAAATACTCTATCTTGCATCTTCATCTCAAATTTTTCACTTTTCTATTTCCATTCATGCTACTACCATTTTCCCTGTACGTGGGCCTTTCCTCTTACCTTCACTCCTAAACTTGCATACATCAATTCTGTTTTGTGCCTTTTGGGAAATCTTTCACATTTGTATCTTCTTTTCCTTTTCTAGTTCAGGTCCTTCTTCCAACAAAACTGGTTTCTCACTTTTTTAAACCTTAAGCTCTAGCCTTTGCACTTTTTCTTATATTCCTCCCAATCCAACATACCACCCAAATTCATACCATCCAAATTCTATCCATTCTCCAAAATAATTAAAGTAAGCCCACTTTTTCAACTAGCCTTTGCTGGCCACCCTATTCTGAAAAGATTTCCTCTGCCTCTGAAATCCTATAGCATTGTTTACAGGTAAGTATTCATTTGGCAGTTTACTCAAGTACTGATTTATGACAGCTGTTTAATTGAGATCAGATCATAACTATTTATTTATACCTCATACTGAGTGGTGCCCAATGCAGCTCAAGGAAATCACTCATAAATGCCTATTTGGAGATGGCTAATTTATTGATTGAAATTACATCCTTTCATGGAGACCTTTGAAAGAGAAACCTGAAAAAAAGAGGGTGTCAGGGCAATAACAGACCATCATCAAATCCTCGCTTTACACGGCCAAAATCAGGCCAGGACAAATTAAAGTTTCATCCTCGTCAAATGAAAAGAAGAAAAATAATACAGGCAATCACATATCCTATTTCTTTTTTTAATAACCATCCTAAAAGTTTGCAAAATTGACCTTGATATTAATCTGCCCTCCGACCCAAAAAACCTGAAGCAGCCCGAAAATTAGAAAAGGTCGCAGGAATAAAGATTTGGAAAATTTCAGAGCTGCCCCAAATCGGCCAATTTATAAGCATATATGAAGACCCAAAACCACCCCTGATGTGGGCTCTCCTCTAGTCTTGCAAAGTTCAGACAGATGCTGTAAATGGGACAGCTCCAAGTCAGCCCCCGCAAGAGTGCTAACGTCAAGTGTTGACTGACAGGCTTGGAAACTGCGATCAACAAATTCTAAATCAGCAAGAGCCGGCACAAACCTAACTAATCTCGGCCCTGACAACCCACCCATGTTGAGAAGGGTTGGAAAGATTAAAAAAAGAAAAGAAAAAGGAAAGAAGTCGGTGGTCTGGGGACAAGAGGCATTTCCAAGGTCTTCCAAACAAGCTGCGGGGCATTTCCCGCTTTGGTCCAGTCCCGGGCACTGCCCGGAGGTCCCCTGGGCGGGTCCGACGGCGAGCAGGGCGGCGCAGCGTCTCGGAGCTGGGCGAGCCCAGGCCCGCGCCCGGTCCCGCCCCGCCAGCAGGGACCCGCCTGGAGCCAGGCAGCGCCCCACGACGAATCCGGGTGCTGCCGAGGGCCGGGAGCCAGTCTCCGCCCCTTCCCTCTCTCCCCGCCCCGCACTCCCAGCAGGACGCAGCTGCCCGGCGTGCGGAGAGCGGCCTGTCGTGCGCCCCGCGCGAGGACTCCGGCTCCCGGCCCCGCTGGCTCGCACACCTGAGCTATCTCCATCCTCGGAGACCGACGAGCTTTCCGTGTCCTCGTCCTCTGAGCTGCTCCCCTCGTTTTCGGCGTAGTCCACCTCCATCTCATCGTGATGGTTCGTCTCCTTCTTATCCCCTCGGGAATGGACTGGCATTTTCCAGCCGCGCCGTCGCTTCCCACTCCCGGCGCCCAGCCCAGCCACCGCCGCTTCAACGAAGGGCGCGCCGAACGCCCCGACCCACCCAGCGGCCGAGCGCGTTCTGAACCCCCTCAGCTCCTCCCCGCCCCCGGCCCGTGCCTCACAACCTAACCCGCAGGCTCTGAGCTAGGAGCTCTGCCATTGGTGGAGGCAGTCCTCCGAGCCGGGGGGTGGGGCTTCCCCTGCTCCGGGATGGTTGGTTGCCCGTAATTACGGCGCGGCCTTGCAATGTGTGTCGGGAGTCGTAGTCCTTACTGCTCAGCCCTGCAGGGGCTGCCGCCTTCCAAGCTTCAGCAACCCTGTTCACTTCTTGCTTGTGGACTTCAAGTCCCACAAGGCACAAAACCTGACAGACTCGCTCGCAGTTTATAAACTAAACAGAAGCAGATTGTGTGCATTTGGACTGTACTTATTCTTTTCCCGCCAAATGATTGTCCAAGCTCCAATGCTATCCAAGATGTTACTGTCAGATGTGAAAAGGTCTTTTGCCTGAGGGTTTTCCTCCTTTCTTTGAGCCTGGAGGAACTGGAGAAACTTCCACCTGAGCACCTTTATTATCGTTAATAAGCTTTTTAATTAATAAGTGCAGACGATGACTTGTACTTTTTATGTTGCACAAAAATCTTTAAGCCGTTCTTGAAACACTTGTAATCAACAATATAGAAAGGGAGGAAGTTTTATCTTGCCATTTTCATCAAGTATTTTTTGCATTCATTTTTTTTACTACATACAACCTGAAGATGCCACTAGGCTTGATTTAACTTAAATTTTCGATGAAAAATACATATTTGACTCAATGAAATGTTAGATTTTCTCAATGATGATAAAATAGACAAGGAAGTCTCAATAAATATCATAATCATAATAACTCCTATTAACTGACTACTTTTACCCTGTATTAGGTGCCCTGATGAGTTCTTTACATGAGTCATAATGAGTGTAATTCTCCATAAGTTTAATCTCTCCGAGGTAGGTACTATTATTATCCCCATTTTACAGATAAGGAAACTTAATTTGCAGGCAAATCAAAAAATTGTATTTTAGCCACTCTTTAAAAGACAGAGCTGCTTCTTGAAGTGGTAATTTGCTATTGAAATATTTCATAGAATATTGTGAATTGTACAGCATTTATTTCTCCAACAAAGTCCAAAGACATTTGAAGGAGAATGGTAAGGGTATCCAGGCATAACTGCATTAAAGTTAGATTGAGAATTTAATGACAAACCATTTCAAATTCTACCCATTTCTGTAGGGTAAAATCCAAATTAAGGGGCTTTTATCATCTAATGTCAGCCTACTTCTCTCCTTCTTACTAGATTCTCCAAAACTGAACTCTTCAGTTGCTAAACACACAGTTCCCCACCCATTCCAATGTCTTTGCACATCCTATTCTCTCTCTGCAATCCTCTCCCATTTCTTTCTTTTTCAAAGGCATTTTCTTGACAACATGCATTACAAACCAGTACCTCCACCATTCAGTATGCACTCATGTTTTTTCAGACTGCTGCTGTACTTTGTCCTTTGCAACCTTATATTTGTTTTCTATCACACTGTATTGTGAATTTTTTAGCTGATGCGCCCCACCTATTAGATGGTGAGTACCTTGAGAGCAGAGACAGTCTTGGTCTGGGATACAATTTCAGAAACATACATTAAAGTCAGGTAAAGTTCAAAGATAGAAACTGGAAGGGTGCGAAACTGGAAGGGTGCGAAACATGGGTGCGAGCACATACATTATGTGAGTGGTGCGGATTAAAGGGGGCAACTGTTTTAGCTCCAGCAATTATTATATAAAAATTCTGGCTTAGATGTTGGACCTTCCAATTTTTGAGAGATACTAGATATTTAGGTCTCTATATGAGCTATCTAGATTAATAAACATTTTCTCAGGTGTGTGGTTTTTTGGGTTTGTTTTTTTCTTTTTTGGTGGTAGTAGTGGTTTGGTTTCTTTTTTTCTTTTTTTTTTTAAGATTTTATTTATTTATTCATAGAGACAGAGAGAGAGAGACAGAGACACAGGCAGAGGGAGAAGCAGGCTCCATGCAGGGAGCCTGATGTGGGACTGGATTCCAGGTCTCCGGGATCACACCCTGGGCTGAAGGGGGCGCTAAACCGCTGAGCCACCCGGGCTGCGTTTGGTTTCTTAAACTCCAGACCAAACACAAACAGTTGTGGATAAAATCTCTGGCCTCTGTTGGGGTACCTGGGTGGCTGAGAAGGTAGAGCAGGCAACTCTTGATTTGGGGGTTGGAGTTTGAGCCCCACGTCAAGTGTAGATATTACTTTTATTTTTTTAAGAATTTTAAAAAATATTTTATTTATTGATGACACAGAGAGAGAGAGAGAGACGCAGAGGGAGAAGCAGGCTCCATGCAGGGAGCCTGATGTGGGACTCGATCCCGGGTCTCCAGAATCACGCCCTGGATTGAAGGCGGTGCTAAACCACTGAGCCACCCGGGCTGCCTGAGGTACCACTTTTAAAAAATCTTTTTTAAAAAATCCCTGGCCTCTGTTACTCTGTTATATCAGCAGCTAGGAGAGCATGTGTTAAATAGAAACAATAGTTTAGATTTCTGGTCACTCTTCCCGTGCATTAATTCATTTAATAATTGTAATAACTGTATGAAGGAGATACAATTATGCCTTCCATTTTGTAGAGGAAGGAATTGAGGCACACAGAGCAGTCAGATTACGTTGTCAAAGTCACACAGTTATTAAGTAGCAGATTCACAATTTGAACTTGCAGAGTCTGACATCAGAACCTGCACTTAACCATCAAGGAACAGTCCCCCTCTAGCAGGTGCTTTCTGTTTCTGCTGTTCAAAGAAAAACAGAAGTTGGAGAGGAAGCACATAGATTCTAGTGCTGGTTTCTGCTAGTCACCAACCAATTAAATTTGGCAAACTACACAATCTCTGGCCAGTTGTAAAATGAGAAATTTGCATTATATTATCTTTAGGGTTTCCTCTAGCTCTTAAGTTCCTGTCATTATTATACTTGTGTCTATTGCAGACAGAATAATAGGATATTATGCAGTTAGAGTTACATGGTGGTGTTTTGCTTAAAAGAAGAGTTTCTCTCCCCACTCCTCAAACAGATTTTAGAAGAGATATGTAGGGAATATAAGAGGAACCATGAGAAACAAAAATTACTAAGAGTGGACGAGAATATTGTCCATTTAGAAAATACAAATTAATGTAAAGAAAACTAGGAAAGTAGAATCAAGTTTCCTTGATTGAGGCAGTTAAAGACGTAGTAATGATATTTTACATTTAGGTAACAATTTACCTTTTACATGGGACTTACACAATCATTAGGTACCTTCTAAGTCTTACTTTTCATTAATCTTTTCATACTTATTTATTGCCATGAGCAAAATCCGCTTTATCTTCACCTCTTCTCTGAACAGACCCTTAACTTTCTTGTTCTAAAGGAAACAAGGCTCTCCCCTAGGACGTACTTCCTTTGCACCCTTGCTCCCACTGAGCCTTGTCATGGAGTAGGTATGCTTGTTGTCCTCCTTGTTCCTTCAATACGATCCTTCCTCTCTCCTCCCTAAACATCCCCAGCTTGTCATCAGGATACCACACAACATCTCTGCTTGTGGCTATCATCTGCATAACCCTCAAGGTCATACCTGCCCTCCCCCGTTTTTTTGAAGATTTTACCTCTCAGCTCATTCTCTCCAATGGAATGCCTATCATAATTCTTGGCCATTTTAATATTCAAGTAGATAATTTTATACCACTCTACTCCTATTCGTTTTGCTACGGTATAGAGTAGATATAAAATAATTTTGGCATTATCTTTTTAGTTTCTCTCCCATATCTTCTTTGGGGTAGCTTTTTAAAAAATATTTCTATTGTGGGGTGCCTGGGTGGTTCAGTCGGCTAAGCATTTGACTCTTGATTTCGGCTCAAGTCATGATCTCAAGGTCATGAGATCAAGACCTGTGTTCAGCCTCCGCACTTAGCACGGACTTTGCTTGTCCCTCTGTCTTCCCCCAGCTTGCACTCTTTCCCTCTCACTCTCTCTCTCTCAAATACATAAAATCTTTAAAATTGTTTTATTGAATATTTTAATATTGTATTATACTTTAAACACATAGTAAGTTATTCAGACTATTATGTATATAACACAGTACCCATCTTTAAGCTTTCTCAAATTTTATATTTTACCAGACTTACTCCAGACCCCTCCTCAATTACAATTCTCCCCTTCCCTTTCCAAAAAAGCCATTATCCTAACTTTGGTGATTTATGATCCACGTGTACACACTATTTTTGTATATGCATGTATCCATAATCCGTTGTAGGATTATTTAACATGTTCTAAAGTGCTCCAATTTTAAAGTAATGTAATACACTACGCATCGTCGTCCTACAACTTCATTTTTACTCATAAATATTGTGAGATTTATCCACTTTGATATGGGTAGCTCTAATCCAGTTATTTTAACCTGCTATAAGGTATTCCATCGACTACACTATTCCATTGGATGAATATTTTAAAATTTATCATTTACCTGTTAATGGACGTTTACATTGCTTCAGAATTTTTTGTTCTTAAAAAACAGTTGCCTAAATGAATATTGCTGTATGGAACTTTTGGACTTTATGCATGAGGATTTTTCTAGGTCACCAGTCTCCAAAGTGGGGCGTGTGTATCCAGGAAGTATATCCTGGGGGACCAGAAGAAAAACATTAAAATTTCCATTTGTATACTTTTAAATTTTATCCTTGTCTGAATAAAGTAGATGTACAGATGCAGCTAGAAGTCCTTTAAAAAAAAAAACCCACTCTGATTCACCTGTTCCCTGTGTTTATTGGTTTTTAATCTGCAGATCCTGCCTCCAAGGGGAGGCAAACTTAATTCCAGTTGTCACCACATGGTGGAGCTGAGACATCAATGTACAGTCCACAAAACTGTATGGATTGACCCAGGCCAGATGCTGGTAGCTGGAAAAACAAAGGCAGAATACCAGAGGCTACAACTAATAACTAGTACTCAAATCAGGGTAAACATTTTAATCATTCAAACTAAAGGGCCTTTAGGGACCTACACTGACTGCTAGCTGAGACCAAATTATGATTATACCGATTATATGAGACCATGATTTCAACTGCTTAAGATTGAAACCACCTAAAGATGCTTGAATTAATTAGCCTATTCACTGGTATAGGATCCATTCTTTATCAATTCTCTATTTGCAGAAATTAATTCTTGGATTAGTTCAAGTATAATTTTATGACATTTTTGTTAGCGTATTTAGGCTATTATTATTATTCCACTGTCTCATTGCTCAAATTATCATGTTCTTTTCTGTAGGCAATATCTAATGTTTTTTTAAGTAGAGAAATTTTGTCTCTAAGATTTTTCTCAAGGGTAAATATTTTATACAGTTTTATTTTTAATCTGCATTGTTCCTCTAAAGATAATTTTTCTGTATAAAGTGGGTATCTTTTGTTTTGGCCTTCCCACTATCCATCCCCTTTCTGAAGCAATAGCTTCAAAGAACTTTCAAGAAACCCCTCTGTGGGGCACCTGGGGGTCTCAGTTGGCTAAATGTCTGCCTTCAGCTCAGGTCATGATCCCAGGATCTTTGAGCTTTGAGTCCGGCTCCCTGCTCAGTGGGGAGTCTGCTTCTCTGTCTCTCTCTGCTGCTCTCCCTACTTGTGCCCTCTGTCTAATAAATTAATTAATTAAAAAAAAAGAACCCCCTCTGCTCTATTCAGCCCACATGGCTCAGGTGACCAATCATAATATTATATTTTTCTAGCTCAGAGATGGACATGTAGACCAACCCAGGCCATGATGGGCATTGCCAGAACTCTTGTTGGGGCTATCAGGAAGGAGTTTTGTCCTATGAAATTAAAAGTTCTATTAAGCCTGTGAACTTAAGTTTATTAGGGTCATTTCTCCTTCCATATGTCCCTGGAACAGGGCAGCAGGGATTGGAACCAATGCAGAGGACAAGCAATGCTGAAATAGAAAGATTCCTGCTGATATAATGTAAGCACCTGGATCCATATGTGTTCAGTGTTAATCGTTAGACTTTCAGTTATATGAACCAATAAGTTCCTCTTTTTACTGATGCTGCTTTGCTTAATTTTGTTTACTACTTATAGCTGAAAGTGTTCAGACTAAAATAGCTAATTTTTTCTTTAAAACATGCATTTTTTAATGGAAGCAATGAATATTTTTAAATATCCCATTGTAATTTCTTATCTGTTCTTAGAAGTCCTCCCTCATATTCATTTATATATTAACTAATGTATATAGTATGTCAGGTAGTATGCTAGTTTAAGAGATTGATTGGTAAACAAAACAGACACAGCCTATGCTTGCATAGAGCTTACAGAAAAGTGGAGGGATAAATATTAAAAATTAACTATACAAGTTGAGATGTGCTTTCTGTTGGTATTATGAGAGTATATAGCATGGAGACCTGAGTAAGATGAGGAGTGAATATCAGGTAAGGCCTCTCTAAAGAAGTAATATGTCTGGTAAGACTTAAGAAGTGGGTAGGGGTTAGCCCAGATAGAAGGGAAAGAAGGAATATTATAAGCTGAAGGAATAGCATATGTAAAGTTCTTGACGTAGCAAAGTGCTTAGCATGTTCATGTTTATGGAATTAAGAAACCACTGTGGATGAATGGTCATTAGTGTTCAAGGTTGAAAAGGGTCTGAGGTGAGGTTGGTAACATAGGCAAAAGCCATACTTCACAAGGCTGGGTAGATGATGGTAAGGGAGTTTTTTGAAATCCTAAATGCAGGGAGTTGCTGTTGGGAAATTTGTAGAATGAGATGATAAGATTAGATTCATGTTAAGATTACATTAATTTTAAGATCAGATCTTAAAAAGATCACTGGTTGTTTAGTGGAAAATGTATTGGATAGGAAGAAGGGAAGGGAATAAGTCAATCAGATGTTGAGGTAAGGTAATAATGACTTAGGGCAGAGGCTGTGTGATGAAAAGAAATGGACTACTTTGAGAGAGCTGGGAGGTAAAATCAACAAAACTTAGTAATGGATTAAATGAGAGACAAGATATAGGATATAGTTTACTTATCTCCTTTCTCTTTAATTTTTTAGACCTGCGGTTGACAGCGGGTGCAGAGGGAGAAGAGAAAGAATCTTATGCAGTCTCCAGGCCCAGCACAGAGCTCCATCTCACAACCCTGAGATCATGATCTGAGCCACTATAATACTTCTTCTAATGCTTCTTGACTTATGTGTGAATGTTGCCTGTTTTCTCTAAAAATTAAAATCATAATCTATGAAATTATAACAGAATGAAAGTATAAAATACATCAACTTCAGAACTGGTGGTTAAAAGCAGCTATGGTCAAAATGCTTGATAATAAGAGCATGAAGACAGTGACACGAGGGGTACTGTGGTTGAGCCTCTGTCTTTGGCTCCAGTTATAATCCCAGGGTCCTGGGATTGAGACCCGAATCAGGCTCCCTGCAAGAAGTCTGCTTTTCCTCTGCCTATGTCTCTGCCTCTTTCTCTGTGTCTCTCATGAATAAATCAAATCTTAAAAAAAAAAAGACAGTGGCACCAAAGTTTACTAATATTCATTGTATTCTTCACTGTGAATTTCACTTACAAACATCCTTGATGAAGCAGCAAAAATTATTGTTTATGAAATCCCAAGTACTGAGCACATATCTTTTAAACATTTTCTTGGCAAAGTGGGAAGTAGCATAAAGCATAGTGCTGCACACTGAAGTGCAATGGTGACCTTAAGGAAAAACACCTGTGCAGTTGAGTTGTGCTCTGACCTAGCAATGTGATTCAAGGACTGACATTTTGACTAGAATGAACTAACTGACAAGCTGAAGTTATTCAGAGATGGATATTTGGAAAATATTTTCACAAAGCAGATAAGTAAAATGAGCCTGTTTCCTAAAACAGTTGACATTGTATGATTTCAAGGATAAAATTCAAGCTTCCAGAAAAAAATTTGGAATTTGGAAAACTTTTATCCACCATGGTGAACATAACACCCAATACTTTTTTTTTATTTTATTTATTTATTTGTTTGTTTATTAATTAGAGACAGAGAGAAAGAGGCAGAGACACAGGCAGAGGGAGAAGCAGGCGCCATGTGGAGAGCCTGAGATGGGACTCGATCCCGGGATCCCAGGATCACGCCCTGGGCTGAAAGCGGCGCTAAACCGGTGAGCCACCTGGGCTGCCCAACACCCAATACTTAAAGGATTTTCTGATGTATGTGATTTTTAAAAAAGATTTATTTATTTATTCATGAGAGACACACAGAGAGAGGCAGAGACATAGGCAGAGGGAGAAACAGGCTCCCTGAGGGGAGCCCGGTGCAGGACTCGATCCCAGGACCCTGGGATCACGACCTGAGCCAAAGACTGACGCTTAACTACTGAGCCACCCAGGCATCCCTGATGTATGTGATTTTTAAAAATATTTGTATTGCGGGACACTTGAGTGACTGAGCAGTTGAGCGCTCCCCTTCCGCCCAGGGAATGATATTGTAGTCCCAGTATCGAGTCCCACCTTGGGCTCCTTGCATGGAGCCTGCTTCTCCCTCTGCCTATGTCTCTGCCTCTCTCTCTCTCTCTCTGTGTCTCTCATGAATAAACAACTACAATCTTAAAAGTATATATTTGTATTGCTTAATGAATTGTATTGGCATTTGGAGTATCTGTATAACTCAGTGAACAATTCCAAATAACAATTGCATAATATTACAAAATTATGTCTGGGTAGAAGATGCATTTAAAGTGCATCCTTTTATTTTATTTTTTTAATTTTTTTACTTATTTATGATAGTCACAGAGAGAGAGAGAGAGAGAGGCAGAGACATAGGCAGAGGGAGAAGCAGGCTCCTTGCACCGGGAGCCCGATGTGGGATTTGATCCCGGGTCCCCAGGATCGGGCCCTGGGCCAAAGGCAGGCGCCAAACCGCTGCGCCACCCAGGGATCCCCTAAAGTGCATCCTTTTAATGTAAAAATATAAAAAGTTGACTGAAATGCCTCCATGATCCACATTGCAACTAATCTTTAAGAAAACTACCACATGTTGATTTTAGTTTATTTTTAGTGTATTGTTGACAATTATCTGAAAAAGCTACTAAAATATCCCCCTTTCCCAGGGTGCCTGGGTGGCTCAGTCAATTAAGCATTTGCCTTCAGCTTGGGTCCTGATACCGGGGTCCTGGGATTGAGACCAGCATCAGGCTCTCTGCTCAGTGAGGAGTTTGCTTCTGTCTCTCCTTTTGCTCCTCCCTCTGCTTGTGCGCTCTAGTCAAATAAATAAATAAATAAATAAATAAATAAATAAATAAATAAATAATTTAAATTCCCCTTTTCCAATTTCCATATGAGGTCACTTTTTTCTTGATAGGAACACACTGAGAGAAAGAGTGGCAGAGACACCGGCAGAGGGAGAAGCAGGCTCCATGCAGGGAGCCTGACGTGGGACTCGATCCTGAGACTCCAGGATCACACCCTGGGCTAAAGGGGCGGCGCTAAACCCCTGAGCCACCGGGGCTGCCCGGGACCACGTTTTTCTTAACATACTTCAATGAAAGGAATATATGGTATCAGAACACCTGATCGCTCAGTGCCAGGTGGCTCAGTGGCAGATGCCTTCAACTCAGGTTATGATCCCAAGGTCCTGGGATTCAGCCCTGCATTGGGCTTCCTGCTCAGCAGGGAGCCTGCTTCTCCCTCCCCTGTCTGCTGTTTCCGCCTGCTTGTGCTAGCTCTCTCTCTTTGTCAAATGGATGAAGAAAGTCTTTTTAAAAATCTTCTTAAAAAAAAAAAAAAAAGAACAATATATGGCATCATGAGTAAATATCCAGCTATCTTCTCTTTTTTTTTTTTTTTTTTGAGAGTGAGAGACTGAGAGAGCAGGGGCATATAGGAGCAGGGGAGGAGCAAGGAGCTAGAGAGAGAGGGACAAGAAGACTCCACACAATGTGGAGCCTGACTCGGGACTTGATCTCATGACTCTGAGATCATAGCCTGAGCTGAAATCAGAGTCATGTGCTCAACTGACTGAGTCACTCAGGCCCCCCTCGAGCTACCTTCTATTAAGCCAAATATTACAGAGATTTTTTAAAAAAGTAAAACAGTAACACTTTCTCACCAAATTTTCTGTTTTGAAAAAATGGATATTTTTATTTTCTCATAGATATGCCTGTTCAAAAATACATATTTCAAAAAAAATCATGAATGTTTTCATTCAGTGGCTTATCAGTTATTTTTCAGTATTAAACTAGTTTTAGGGATCCCTGGGTGGCGCAGTGGTTTGGCGCCTGTCTTTGGCCCGGGGCGCGATCCTGGAGACCCGGGATCGAATCCCACGTTGGGCTCCCGGTGCATGGAGCCTGCTTCTCCCTCTGCCTGTGTCTCTTCCTCTCTCTCTCTCTCTCTCTCTCTCTCTCTCTCTCTCTCTCTCTGTGACTGTCATAAATAATAAAAAATAATAAACTAGTTTTAAATTTTCTCAGATTTCATTTTTAAGAGACATTTTTTGAACAGTTTTATTTTTTATTTATCCATTTTTTTTAAAAAAAAAGATTTTATTTATTTGAGAGAGAGAGAGAAGAGTGCGCACAAGCAGGAGGAGGGGAAGAGGGAAAGGGAAAAGCAGACTCCCCACCAAGCATGGAGCCTGACTCAGGGCTAGACTCAGGGCTCAATCCCAGGACCCTGAGATCATGACCTGAGCCCAAGTCAGATGCTTAACTGAGCCACTCAGGTGCTCCTTATTTATTTTTAAGTAATCTCTACAGCCAACATAGGGCTCAAACTTCACAACCCCCAAATCAAGAGTCACAAGCTCCACCAACTGAGCCAGCCAGATGCCCCTACAACAATTTTGGATTTTAGAAAAAAATCGAGCTCATAGTACACAGAGTACTCCTATGCTGCATCCAGTTTCCTTTATTGATGACTGGTATGGTACATCTGTTACAATTAGAGAACCAGTAATGATACATTATTGTTATCATCTAAACTACATAGTTTATTGGATTTCCTTAGCTTCTACCTAACGTCTTTTTTTCTATTCCAGGATTCCATCCAGAATACTTTATTATATTTAGTTGTCATTTCTCCTTAGGCTCCTCTTGGCTAGTATTGTTTCTCAGACTTTCTTTTGTTTTGATAACCTTGACAGTTTGAGGAACACTAACCAACTAGGGATTTGTGTAATGTTTTTCTCATAGTTTAAATGAGGCTGTAGGTTTTGGGGAGGAAGACCAACAGAGGTGAAGTGCTGTTTTCATCACATTAAATCCAGGGCACACACTGTCAGGGTAACTTCTCATTGTTGATGTTGACCGTGGTCACACATAGCCAAGGTGGTGTTTGTTGTTTCTCCACTGTAAAGTCACTCCCCTTGCCCCTTCCATTCCGTACATTTTGGGAGAAGCTCATTATGTACAGGCCACATCTAAGAAGTGGGTCTATCTTCCATCTCTTTGAGTATCTACATATATTTTTTTGGAATTCTTTTTGCATGGGAGATTTGTCTCATTGTCCCCATTATTTATTTATTCAATTATTTATTTATATCAGTATGTAATCATGGATATTTATGTTATATTTTGGATTATAATCCAATACTACCTTATTCATTTTGTTGTTCACATGTTTCGGCTTTGACCACTGCATGCTCTTTCAATTAACATACTCATATGATTTCTTTTTTTTTTTTCTCATATGATTTCTGAGACTGTGTGTGTGTGTGTGTGTGTGTGTGTGTGTAGCATTTCCTCACTTTCTGGCACTACAAAAACATCCAGGCTGAACTTGTCTTTTCCTGCCCCAGTCCTAGAATCGGCCACTATTCCAAAAAGTCTTGGTTCTATCAGAAAGTGGTATTGAAAACAAAGATCTGGTACAAGGTGTGCTTGCTGCTACTGGGGTGTCATTGCATCTAAGCCCTCTCAGCTGACAGAGCAAGATGTGTGTTCACTAATCTGTCTTTATACACATATTTATAAATATTTACATATGTAACCATCTGTATCTATATTTAGGAAAACATGCTCATATTGATGTCTCCAGCTTGAATCCATTACCAGGTGAATCATTCTATCCTCCTCCTCGTACTTATCTGAAAAACTCGAACTCCAACAGTGAGAACCTTGAATCCCACCATATGTCATCCATTTATTTAATTCTTTAATTCCAGTATACATGCATAGCAGTATCAGAATTGTTAACCCATACCCAAATGGTAATGAACTTTATCAACTAGAATACAGTGGTTTTTTTTTTTAATTTCATTTATTTATTCATGAGAGATACAGAGAGAGAGAGAGGCAGAGACACAGGCAGAAGGAGAAGGGGGCTCCAAGGAGGGAGCCCGACGTGGGACTTGATCCCGGGTCTCCAGGACCACGACCTGGGCCAAAGCCGGCGCTAAACTGGTGAGCCACCAGGGCTGCCCTAGAATACAGTGTTTATGCACATTCTCTTTAGCCTTTAGTCTCATAGATTCCATTCGTTTTCAAATGAGTACCTTTCCCCCCAATTTATTCAGTTAGGTTGTTTCATACATTGTGATACAGTTAGATAATTTTGTCACATTCTATGTCCACTAGGATTCTCTGATCTCCTAAATGATTTCTTTTAATTTGCATATATTAGGGTCCACTGAGTGTGCAATGAAGTTCTATGAATATTGATAAATGCATAGAGTGAAGTATCCGCAATTACAGTATCATACAGGATAATTTCAGCACCCTAAAAAATTCCCTATGCTTTACCCATTTCCTGCAGGCCTGGGCTAATCGTTGACATTTACTGTTGCCTTTTCCAGAATGTCATGTAACGAGAATCATACAGTATATAGCTTTTTCAGACTGGCATCTTTCACTTAGGAATGTGCATTTAAAATTCATTTTCATGGCTTGATTTCTTTTGGGTGCTGAATAATATTCCATTGTATGAATGCAGCACAGTTAGCTTATTCATTCATCTATTGAAGGACATATTGGTTCTTCCAGTTTTGGGAGTTATGAAAAAAAGATACTGTAAACATTTGCATGCAGATTTTTGTAAGGACTTATCTTTGAATCAATTGGGTGAATATCTTGGAGTGCAATTGCTGGTTCATATGGTAAAACTATATTTAACTTTACAAGAAACTGCCAAACTGTCTTCCAAAGTGGGCTGTACTATTTTACATTGCTAACAGCAATGAATAAGAGTTCCTGTGCTCTGCATTCCCACCTGCATTTGGTGTTGCCAGTGTTTTGAATTTTAGTCATTCTAATATGTGTGCAGTAACACCTCACTGCTGTTTTAATTTTTCCCTGATGACAAATAATATTGGCGATCTTTTCATATGCTTATATGCCATCTGTATATCTTCTTTGGTAAGATATCTGTTCGG